AAGCTGCAATGGAATGGAATGGAATTGGATAGATATGGAAGTGTATGTTAATAAGCTACATGGAAACAAACTGTCCTGAAATGAAGGGTTTGATAGATATGGAACTGTGTATTCCAAAGTTAACAAATGGGAGGACTTGGACAGATATAGAAATGCGTACAATGAAGTTGACTAAAAGAAGGATTTGGATACTGTGTATGATAAAGTTAATCAATGGAAGAGCTTGGATAGATAGGGAACGGTGTATGATAAAGTTAACTAACGGAAAGGCTTGGATACGTAACTGTGTATGACAAGGTTAACTAACCAAAGGTTTTTGGATATAGAACTGATTCTGATAGTTAATTGGGAAGATGGCCAATGAGGTGTTTATTTTTTTTATAAAGTATGTCAAATGGAGTTTAAATGTGAAAGGATGTTCATCAGGCAATCAACAGAAAAGAAAACTAGCAAGCTTTGAGGTGCAGTTTTTTTCGTGTATATGTTTTGCTATAACTGCAGCAAATGAATCTGTTCTAACAGCAGGTGGAGCTTCATTTTCCTGACCAAATATAGATATCTGGCTTTGATTTTACTAACCTCTATGTGGCCGTTTTCGGCTGCGTCCTTCATTGGGCTTTTTCCGAATTTGTCCAATGAAATTCGACTGCCATGGCTTAGAAGCCATCGCAAAGTATTTAAATGGCCTCTGCTGGCAGCAAAGTGAACTGCAGTGGCGCCGTCATGATCACGCAAGTTCGGGTCTATTCCTTGTTCTTCTACCTGTTTGATAGGTGTATAAACACACAAAAAAACGGTCATTCTGATTGACTTAACATACACTCAGCTTTAAGGTTATCCAGTACTGTATGTAGAAAAGAAACTAGAAAACAACATTTATTTTTACTTTAAGAAAAACACTCCAGCACTATGAATAAATTTATCGCCCAGGTAACGTATAAGCTAGTTAAATTAGTACAATACCAAAATGAACATATGTTTTAGTTCGAGAAGAAGTAACGACTCTTAACAACAAATTGTGGAACTAACAAAAGCGACATACTGTGAAATATATAGTAAGGTAATATGAAAGACAAGCTGTCTTTATTTGTTTCTTTGATTTTTTTTTTCACATAGAGTCTCGTCGAAAAGAAAAAGAAGACTTCTCCCAACACAATTATATTTTAATTGAAAAATAACAACAGCGTGGAATAAACGCTGTGCACATGAGAGACTTTTAATAAATCGTTGACTTGCCAAATAAAAAACAATCTGTTGTCTCTTCATTTCAACCGATAACGTGTCTAGAAATTTTAATTTTTCGTCTAAACTATAACTTGTTTAGAAATCTGATATTCAAAAGTTTGCTTACCATCCACGTGACGCATTTTAGAGCCCCCATTTGAGCAGCAGCATGAATTGGAGCCATTCCATCTTTCGCTCGAAGCAAGAGGGAGCCACCAGCTTCCAGTACAAGAAAACTGAGAACATCCAAATGTCCCTCCTGTGCCGCCAAGTAAACAGGAGTCACATTGTTTTCCATCTGAGTGTTAGCGCTGGAAAACAAAACCTCAAAGTTAACTGTATTTAAAGTAGAGAGTTTAAATATCGTATTATAGATTTGCAAGTTTTTTTTTTGTTTGTTTTGTTTCGCGATTAGGGAGAAATAAAAAAACGAATTCTTACACTAGAAAACAAAGGAGTCTATCTAAACCAAAGTTTCGTCATTATGTTTTCCCTGGAGCTAAAATGAGAAAGTTAAAAACATACACGCACCGATATTCATAAACCGAATCATATTGTTCACGTCTGTGTTTTATACACAGTCATGTAGTCTGGATATCGCCAAAACGGTGAAACTTTGGCTCAACTAGATTGTTATTATGTTATAATAAAGTCGCTAGGTGTGACAACAATAATAAATCAACAGATCTACAATAAAAAAAAGACGTAATCACTTAGGTCACTTACATATACCGTGGAACAAAGTGAAGTATAACGAGAAGACAAATTGTAGTGTTTAAATTTTTTGTGTTATAGAGCCGAAGTTGTGACTATTGGTTAGTTTGCCTCTGAACCCCTCTTGCACTTTTAGCTGTAGAGGCAACATAACCAAAAACGTTTATCCCGTCATTTGGCTAACTGCAGCTGCGTAGGTGGCAGGTGTTACTGGCTGGTTTCGCTCCATCTGGAAAGCTGTTATAAATTAGAAATGGTTATACCAGAACTTTCAAGGTATTTGGTGTAACTGAAGACGAAAGGCGGAAGACTTTCGAAACGTCGTCCTCTACATTTGTAGGTTTCTACAACAGGTAGTTGCTGTCCATTTGAAACTCAGATTCATTATGAATACTCTACCTAAACAATCTATCAAAGATTAGAAATATTTACGTTTACTTAAATCAGTTTTGTATCCAGAGACACGTTTCATCTTGAGATGAATTCTATATCTTGTCATATTCTTGAATAAGGACTTAAACTGTAGATTTTCATATTATTAAAATACCTTAACTTTTGTAATACAATAGAAAATCCAAGCAACACAACAACGTTTGAGGAGTCAGTTTACAGGTGTAATAGACACTGTACAAGATGAAGTTCGTTGACGTCATTAGTGTACAAAGGTAGCGTAGTTAGGCAAGCGTAACGAAAAGAACAAAGATTTATTCATTTTACTGACATGGATTATATTTCATAAACGAAACTATCAAACCGAGGTTACAGCACATCTGAATGGAATCTAGGGAGCAAAAAATACGGGCGAAAATCGACACGCCCTTGCATCATTTTGGTAGGAAAGGAGAAAAGTATATTGTAATTTTTTAAGACTTTCGTGTTCGGTTGACAAATGCAACAGAAAAGATTATCATCTCTACGCCTGACATCCTCGTCTTTAAAAAAGGACACTGAGGAAAAAAATATAAATATAGGTTACGGTTTGAAAGGCGTGACAAAAATATATTTTGCTCCATATACACAGGGTGGTCACACCTTTTCAGAAAAAAATGAAAATTTTCAGTCATATTCACATGAATTGATATATTTATGATTTAATTAATATCTAGTAT